ATAAAACTTAAGTCAACATCAATCTATGCATGACCAGATCGTGTTATACGTGTATCCAAATACATTTTACCAGGGCTACGGTCGAACTATTCCCAACTGGACATTTTGTAACCAACTCTTGAGAACTACAGCAGATACCTGGACAGACGGGTAATAGCAGGGTGGGTACCTGGGTCGTAAATTTAAACCCGTCCCAGCCCTAGCACATGGGTAGCAAATCTAGACTCGTCCCAGCCCTGATATACACATACACAGGGATACTGAAGTATTTCACCCATACACGGGGATACTGAAGTATTTCACACATACACAGGGATATTGAAGTATTTCACACATACACAGGGATACTGAAGTATTTCACACATACACAGGGATACTGAAGTATTTCACACATACACAGGGGAACGGGGATTCTGAAGTATTTCACACATACACAGGGATACTGAAGTATTTCACACATACACAGGGATACTGAAGTATTTCACACATACACAGGGATACTGAAGTATTTCATACACATACACAGGGGAACGGGGATACTGAAGTATTTCACCCATACGTGGGGATACTGAAGTATTTCACACATACACGGGGATACTGAAGTATTTCACACGTACACAGGGATACTGAAGTATTCCACACATACACGGGGATACTGAAGTATTTCACACATACACAGAGATACTGAAGTATTTCACACATACACAGGGATACTGAAGTATTTCACACATACACGGGGATACTGAAGTATTTCACACATACACGGGGATACTGAAGTATTTCACACATACACAGGGATACTGAAGTATTTCACACATACACAGGGATACTGAAGTATTTCACACATACACAGGGATACTGAAGTATTTCACACATACACGAGGATACTGAAGTATTTCACACATACACAGGGATATACTGAAGTATTTCACACATACACAGGGATACTGAAGTATTTCACACATACACAGGGATACTGAAGTATTTCACACATACACAGGGATACTGAAGTATTTCACACATACACGAGGATACTGAAGTATTTCACACATACACAGGGATACTGAAGTATTTCACACATACACGGGGATACTGAAGTATTTCACACATACACAGGGATACTGAAGTATTTCACACATACACAGGGATACTGAAGTATTTCACACATACACAGGGATATACTGAAGTATTTCACACATACACAGGGATACTGAAGTATTTCACACATACACAGGGATACTGAAGTATTTCACACATACACAGGGATACTGAAGTATTTCACACATACACGAGGATACTGAAGTATTTCACACATACACAGGGATACTGAAGTATTTCACACATACACGGGGATACTGAAGTATTTCACACATACACAGGGATACTGAAGTATTTCACACATACACAGGGATACTGAAGTATTTCACACATACACAGGGATATACTGAAGTATTTCACACATACACAGGGATACTGAAGTATTTCACACATACACAGGGATACTGAAGTATTTCACACATACACAGGGATACTGAAGTATTTCATACACATACACAGGGAAACGGGGATACTGAAGTATTTCACCCATACACGGGGATACTGAAGTATTTCACACATACACGGGGATACTGAAGTATTTCACACATACACAGGGATACTGAAGTATTTCACACATACACGGGGATACTGAAGTATTTCACACATACACAGGGATACTGAAGTATTTCACACATACATGGGGATACTGAAGTATTTCACACATACACAGGGATACTGAAGTATTTCACACATACACAGGGATAAAAATGTACGACATGAGTAATAACTGTCATCCATCTGTGATCCAGTGTTATTTCAACATGATCTAGATAATAAGTAGTTGTAGTTTACATAGTTGGCAGTTTGACATTGCTAACAAACTACATACTTCGCCTTAAGCATGTGCACGTTCTTTTTACATGTTTTTCAAGATTACTTTTGAGAAAGAATATTAATCACTAGCCTCGTACAATATGTACCATCACAAGCTATTTAAAGAAAATGATTTTTGATTGAGCTCACTTGGCACCAGGAACTTATTTTAACTGAAATATAAAACTCAAGGATCCTGGCACAACCAGGGGCTACAACTCTGCACAGTACATAGTGGCATTTGTGCCCCCATGTATTCCTATGAAATATTAAGTAGTATATATGTCAATAAGTATTTTGCTTTTGAAAATATATATGGTGGCATTTGACAATGAAAGCGTATTGTATCATGTATTCAATGATATTCCACATTTCTACCAAAGTCTGCATCACAATTCTTGTAAAAGTAATCTGGATATAAACAGACAAGGAATCAACCCAAGAAATCCAACACAATATCAGATTTCGGCTTTCAACATGTTAAAATCTAAAAAAAGAAATCCTTTTGAAGAATCAGACCTGTTCACCCAGTGAAAAAACTTTCACTTTAATAATTCCTCACTTCAAACACTTCCCCACAATCAATAGACCTCAGCCTGGTTTAATACAGATAATCCTCAAATAAACATTTTCCCTTTGCTGCATGGACAGACCACTAAAACATGTTTGTGCAACAGCTAAAAACATAATCTCCTTAACAATGACAGGTGACTTTAACTTGCATCCCTGTCCTACCCCAATACACTCAGGCATGTCAGGCCAGTGTAGTGTCATTCTGTTCTAGATCTCTGTAACGGGTAATGGTAACTTGTATCTCTGTCCTACACCAATACATTCCGACATGTCAGGCTAGTGTAGTGTCATCCTGTTCTAGATCTCTGTAACGGGTGCTGGCAACTTGTATCCCTGTCCTTACCAATACAGTCAGGCATGTTAGGCCAGTGTAGTGTCATCCTGTTCTAGATCTCTGTAACGGGTACTGGCAACTTGTATCCCTGTCCTACACCAATACACTCAGGCATGTCAGGCCAGTGTAGTGTCATCCTGTTCTAGATCTCTGTAACGGGTACTGGCAACTTGTATCTCTGTCCTAACCAATACATTCCGACATGTCAGGCCAGTGTAGTGTCATCCTGTTCTAGATCTCTGTAACGGGTACTGGCAACTTGTATCTCTGTCCTCCACCAATACATTCAGGCATGTCAGGCCAGTGTAGTGTCATTCTGTTCTAGATCTCTGTAACAGGTACTGGCAACTTGTATCTCTGTCCTACACCAATACATTCCGACATGTCAGGCCAGTGTAGTGTCACCCTGTCCTAGATCTCTATAACGGGTAATGGCAACTTGTATCTCTGTCCTACACCAATACATTCCGACATTTCAGGCCAGTGTAGTGTCATTCTGTTCTAGATCTCTGTAACGGTTACTGGCAACTTGTATCTCTGTCCTACACCAATACATTCCGACATGTCAGGCCAGTGTAGTGTCATCCTGTTCTAGATCTCTGTAACGGGTACTGGCAACTTGTATCTCTGTCCTCCACCAATACATTCAGGCATGTCAGGCCAGTGTAGTGTCATTCTGTTCTAGATCTCTGTAACAGGTACTGGCAACTTGTATCTCTGTCCTACACCAATACATTCCGACATGTCAGGCCAGTGTAGTGTCATCCTGTTCTAGATCTCTGTAACGGGTACTGGCAACTTGTATCTCTGTCCTACACCAATACATTCCGACATGTCAGGCCAGTGTAGTGTCATCCTGTTCTAGATCTCTGTAACGGGTACTGGCAACTTGTATCTCTGTCCTCCACCAATACATTCAGGCATGTCAGGCCAGTGTAGTGTCATTCTGTTCTAGATCTCTGTAACAGGTACTGGCAACTTGTATCTCTGTCCTACACCAATACATTCCGACATGTCAGGCCAGTGTAGTGTCATCCTGTTCTAGATCTCTGTAACAGGTACTGGCAACTTGTATCTCTGTCCTCCACCAATACATTCAGGCATGTCAGGCCAGTGTAGTGTCATTCTGTTCTAGATCTCTGTAACGGTTACTGGCAACTTGTATCTCTGTCCTACACCAATACATTCCGACATGTCAGGCCAGTGTAGTGTCATCCTGTTCTAGATCTCTTTAACGGGTACTGGCAACTTGTATCTCTGTCCTCCACCAATACATTCAGGCATGTCAGGCCAGTGTAGTGTCATTCTGTTCTAGATCTCTGTAACAGGTACTGGCAACTTGTATCTCTGTCCTAGATCTCTATAACGGGTACTGGCAACTTGTATCTCTGTCCTACACCAATACATTCAGACATGTCAGGCTAGTGTAGTGTCATTCTGTTCTAGATCTCTGTAATGGTTACTGGCAACTTGTATCTCTGTCCTACACCAATACATTCCGACATGTCAGGCCAGTGTAGTGTCATCCTGTTCTAGATCTCTGTAACGGGTACTGGCAACTTGTATCTCTGTCCTAACCAATACATTCCGACATTTCAGGCCAGTGTAGTGTCATTCTGTTCTAGATCTCTGTAACGGTTACTGGCAACTTGTATCTCTGTCCTACACCAATACATTCCGACATGTCAGGCCAGTGTAGTGTCATCCTGTTCTAGATCTCTTTAACGGGTACTGGCAACTTGTATCTCTGTCCTAACCAATACAGTCAGGCATGTCAGGCCAGTGTAGTGTCATTCTGTTCTAGATCTCTGTAACAGGTACTGGCAACTTGTATCTCTGTCCTAGATCTCTATAACGGGTAATGGCAACTTGTATCTCTGTCCTACACCAATACATTCAGGCATGTCAGGCCAGTGTAGTGTCATTCTGTTCTAGATCTCTGTAACAGGTACTGGCAACTTGTATCTCTGTCCTACACCAATACATTCCGACATGTCAGGCCAGTGTAGTGTCACCCTGTCCTAGATCTCTATAACGGGTACTGGCAACTTGTATCTCTGTCCTACCCAATACAGTCAAGCATGTCAAGCCAGTGTAGTGTCATCCTGATATACTTTGGACACATACTGTAATATGTTTAACACCTACCTTGGACCCATACTGTAATACGTTTAACACCTACCTTGGACACATACTGTAGGAATATTTCCCCCACCGTATTCCTCCATGTTGCAGGCAGGTTCTGCAAACAAACAGACAAGTGTCAAACAAACAGACAAGTGTCAAACATTTTCCATCACAAATCCTCTGAATATACATGACAAAACATTGAACAATAACATGTTGCTAATACCGGTCTGTTTTGTCTATTCTTCTTTTGTTTTACTTTATTTATTTAATCTATTTTTTTATTTACGGTACTTGTTATTTTCTGGGGCTGGGGTAGGGTGGCAATGACATGGTCTAGCACAAAATGACAGACTGCTGAAAACAAAACCATAACTGAAGCCACATTTTTGTTGTTTTACCACTTACAGAGACACACATTCAAGTTTGTATGGCTCAATATCTATTTCCTGTATTTTGCATGTATTTGTTTGGGATGGTTGTTTCACTAAGAACAATAACACTGTTCAAAGCAGGATATTCAGTATTTTACAGTAAAATGTATGTCTTTACTTCTGATAACAGCAGATAGAGGCTACATACAATATGTTTTATCAAATAGTTAAAAACTTAACAGTTACTATAATCTTGTATATATATATGAATATACCTTTAGGAGAAAACAAGAAGACCTTTTAGATTTTCACTAGTCACGTTTTTTTCAGTCGCTGAATGAGACGGCATCATACCTGGGTCACATTTGGTGATTTGAATATCAATGTGACTTTCTGTATCATTACATGACACTCCTTCACCTTAACACCTCGTTAAAGAGGTACAGTGATCCCTAGCTACCTTCGGGGGCCAAATAATTGATGAGCCTTATAGATGATCAGCGGTTTAACCGAGGTCGAGTCGTAGGTGGTATATGACCAACAAAACAGTATACATCCTCTGCCTACCTAACACGATCTATGCAAAAAAAGATTCATCCAGTATTTATATGCGCTTTCAAAAAAACACATCATATCCCTTCAGCGAATTCAGGTGAATAAACAGGTATAACAAACTTGGTCAATAAAAGTATAAAAATTTGATACAAAACATCACATGATGATATGCCATTTAAAATGTATTTCCTGCTCTCCAAGGCATTGTTTTATTTGCAGAGATTAAGATTACATGTGTATTTTCTCGTAACCTAAGTCGGAAATAGCAATCAGCTGTGCACACGTTTCCTCCCAATCTACCGGTGATTCAGTCAAAAAGTACCCAGTGATACAACTTCAAAGAGTTTTGATGCAATGGTTGGAAGAAATTATATCTTAAATTATTATTTCATCAGGAAAAATATATTCCAATATTATGTTATTTTAGCTGCAGCTTCCACTACATATATATACTTAAAATTTAAAGAAAAAGCACTTTGGTACAGGTGGTATGCAGGATATTTTTTTACGTATGGAACAACTTGACCTGTCACCACAGGGACTTCCCTTACTACATGTATTTCGATTGCGAATACGTTAGCAAGTCATGGTACAGCATTTATGATATGTGTATCTATTCTCTTGCAACTAAAGTTTGTTTCAAGGCGTCAATAGCGTCAATGGTTGCTGTAAATTACGATGTGTTATGCGATCTAGCAATCACTTCGCATATGATTTCGCTGAAATTATTGTAAACATTATAATAATGATTGAATGAAACTTTGAATATATTTAATAAAACATATTGCAAACAATAGTCCAGATAAACAATGAACATTTTTTTATAACCAGATATTTTAATAATAGGATTAAATTGCCTACTTCAGTTTGGATTTGTTGACTGGTATTTCTAATGTTACGTGATCGCGGTGATCAGTTGATAATGTTTCTGAGATGGGGGAAAACATCGTGTCATTGGAAAACTTGAGTTTATTAAAAATGTTAGTAAATTTTGGGAGCCATGCTTTACTGTGCACAATAACCGAGTTAGCGCTATATTGAGGAGCGCAATAGCGAGGGAACACAGTAACGGTATTAGACAACAGTCTGATTGTCCTTCATGGTTACTTGGTTTACAAAGTCCATGAATCATAAAATGCAAAACAATGTTTTCTTGAAGTGGTCACAAAATCGTTTATAGTACAATAATAAAAAAATACTTGCCAATTTTACAACCTCCTTTATGACAGACATGTTATCTTATATAACATTTATGTCACAGCCTCATAAACTGGCTTCTGCTCATGACACTGTCACTTTTAATTAGTGAAATGAACTGACAGACTGGGATATAAAAATGACCACCCACACAATTCTAATCCCTTAATGCGAAACTCGGGTCAGCCGATCTGTGAACAGAATAATACAAGTAAAACACTTGTACCAAGTGGCCTTGTTGATACAATGTTCAGAGAAGGTGATTGAATCCAAGGGCATGTTGACGTAAATCATAAAACTTGACATAGTGGATGAGGAAAGTTTTGTTCAAATGACATGATTCAAGCAGTGAAATAGTTCATGATGGATAATATTTTGAGTCATCAAGTGTTTACTCTCATGTAAACATTTTCATTGAGTGTTCAGTTTTTGTTTGGCTATTCAATATATTTTTAATCCCTTAGAACCAATGTACTTTTATTTAACCAATATATTTTTGAAATAATCTTTTTTAAATTGTGTTGTTATCTTAATGTATGCAAATAATGAATTTCACACCCGGCGATGTTCGGTGGTCATTTTGCATGTCCTTCCTTCAACAGGAACTGACATGACGTACATCTACATGACGTACACTTCTACATGACGTACACTTCTACATGACGTACACTTCTACATGGTCCTGATCACAACAGTGATACATGTGTAGGATACAGTAAGCGAGAGGTTGCACATTTGTGCACTATCTGATGTCTGTGTTTTTCAGTAAAAAAGGTTTGTGCCGAAATCTTGTTTATCAGGATGATATTCAACAGACTTTCTAAAACAAATATTAACTGATATTGGGTATGAATGGGCAAGACTGTGACTTTTATAAGATATAAGCTTCAGTAGTCAGTTAAGAGTGAATGAGTGTGTCCTTGTCACAAACCAGTGGTTGATAGCATGAGCTATGACCCATGCCATTGACACTGGACATAAAACTAGCTGGTTCACACATGACTGACCATTCACATGTTAGTCGTCTCTTGAGACAAGCATGGGCTACTGAATAGGCTATCATTAAGTCGTAATGAATTTTCTTTTCTTCAAATTGCGTTTTGATACATTACTGAAAGGAGCCCAGGAAATCTCTTCATTTTCCCTAACAGCAACTGAGGAAACATAGACTTGCCAATTATTGTAAACCTTTTGGATAATTTTGTTTCAGGGTTTGTATGATCTTGTTTGGTTGTTTGTTTGTTGTTTAACGCCACACTCAGCAATATTCCAGCTATATGATGGTGGTCTGTAAAAAATCGAGTCTGGACCAGAGAATCCAGTAATTGACATCATGAGCATCGATCTATGCAATTGGGATACGATGACATGTATCATCCAAGTCAGCAAGCCTGACCCCTCGATGCCGTTTGTCTCCTGATTCAACAAAGGGATGTATAAGAGACATTGGGCACTAGGAACCTTCACTGAAGCAGAATCCTTTCACTGCGACACAATGAAGATGGATTAGGACTTACATAAAAAAATATGTAATAAACTAACATCAGCAGGGCTCGAGATAAGCTGCGTATTTGTGTAAAATGCATAAAAAATATACTGAAATATGCAGACAAATCAAATCCTCACGTATCAAATACACAAGAACTATAAACGTTAATAATACTAATGTGTATATTACAACGATTGCGTATATAGCATCTGTTAGATAAAATGATTGTGTATCACCCGATCGCAAAATTCACTTACCAACAATTACATTTGGAAAAGCTTGTGTGACAAACATGGTAATGGATGCCATGTGAAAAGCACCTCGTGCCTAGTTAATGTACATGTTGTATCTTAAACACTCCCTGATTGGTGATAAAAAAATAGCGCTTTTCTTACAATGTTGGGTTTTGCAAACAAAAAAGGCTTCCCGGGTAGGGAGCTGAAAGCAGACGCAGACAGGTATACTACTACTGATATGGTTTTAAATTACTTACAAGGATTCTTACAAAACAGGTTTTCAAGTTAAAATACCCGAATGTCAAGAAACAGGTGGGTATTAAAAATTTGAATACCCTCCAAATTTGTGGATACCCAATCAAAATCAACCCCTGGGTAAAATACCCAAATAACCAAATGCCTATCTAATGCTCTGATCAGTCCCTAAACATCTTGTTTATCAACAAGGTGAAGGTCACAAGAGCTGTAATACCTACTATCTAGGCTACAGATTGTACAAGGGGTTGTGAGAACAATTGTGTTGGTAAACACAAGCCGTGACATACATTGCCCCCAGCATGCTGCGACGGTCTTACCCAGACTTACAACCTGTAAGCCATGGTTACACACATATGGTCACCGATAATGCAGATTACAGGTTGTAAATAGCTGAGCCTTGGGCGACCTTAATCTCCTAATAATCACTGCGGCCTCTGGTCAGTTGAAAAGAAAACAGAATGACCACACCTACTGACCTCTGGTTCATACCTATCAGTTTCTGGAGATTAGTCAAGAAAAGAAAATATTTACATATTCTTAAGATTGTATTCAAGATGTGGGCACTTAATGTGGCCTGACGATTGTATTCAAGATGTAGGCATTGAATGTGGCCTGAAGATTGTATTCAAGATGTAGGCATTGAATGTGGCCTGAAGATTGTATTCAAGATGTAGGCACTGAATGTGGCCTGAAGATTGTATTCAAGATGTAGGCATTGAATGTGGCCTGAAGATTGTATTCAAGATGTAGGCATGGAATGTTGCCTGACAATTGTATTCAAGATGTAGGCCTTGAATGTGGCCTGAAGATTGTATTCAAGATGTAGGCATTGAATATGGCCTGACAATTGTATTCAAGATGTAGGCATTGAATGTGGCCTGAAGATTGTATTCAAGATGTAGGCATGGAATGTTGCCTGACAATTGTATTCAAGATGTAGGCCTTGAATGTGGCCTGACAATTGTATTCAAGATGTAGGCATTGAATGTGGCCTGATGATTGTATT